CTGCTGGGTTGGTCCAGTAGCGCCGAGGAGCGGTGCTACTGGAGCAACCCAGCAGCACCCCAGCTGCTCTGCCCCAGGCATCCCCAAGTCAGCCGCTGCTGAAACTGACCAGCGCTGACTGCAGGAAGCCCAAGGCAGAGTTGCCCGAGGCCTATAGTTTCCTACATCACTTTTTCCTTCCTTTTCTTGAAAATAGAAGCTATAGCAACAATTCTCCAGTCAAAAGATACAATCCCTGAGTTTGAAAATGTATTAAAAATTCCTGCTATTGGGTTTGCAACTTCATGCAGCCCTTCCCTTCAGATTGCAGAAATTAAGTAATTTGATAGGCTGCCTGTTTACCGATAACTGGCTAACCTTTTACATCCCTAGCCCCGTACAGCCATAAGGCCCTTAGCACTCACCAATACTAAACCTAAAATGGCTGGTTCAGCAATCTGTCAGATATCACCCCCAAGAAAAGCTGGATCCTACTATTAGCAGTAGTACTTTTCCTCCTATCTAAATTTTGTTAATAGTTGGAATATTCCCAGAAGTAAGTACCTTATTGGTTATTGATAAACGTGTGAAAGCATTGCATTTGGCTGTATAAAGAACAACTATTGTGGGAATGTCCAGAAAAGAGAATGTAATTGTTGATAATGGCAATATCTTTATACGTTTTGTTGCCTTCAGCAGTTAACTTGCTAATAGAAAATCATGTCAGATTGTCTCTGAAACTCAGTCTGTGAATAACACAGTTGTACTTTTTCCAGTACTAATTCAGTTGCTCAAAGCTGAATAGGTGTATGCTATTTCAGGTCATGTTGCTTCATTTAGATGATTTCCAAAACTGATAGAATAACCACATGGTTTTGCATTGCTTGAGGGTCAGAGAAAATGCTTTTTCTACATAACTAGCTCTACTTATATATATTGCTCTTTATTTTTTGGGCTACATCAGCCATGGCCAACCCTAGGCTCACAAGCTGCATGCAGCTATCGGCTCTCCCCCCCCACCCCTTATGGCAGCAAAAACGGCCCTCTCCTCCCGGCTCCTTGTGCTGACCTGGGCAGGGGAGCTGTCTGGCA